AAAGCAATGATCTTCCCAGCATATCTTTTCAAAGACGATCATGTCTCTAATTCCAAAGAAGAGGGGAAGGTTCCCATTTTCAATTCCAATCGAACGCCGCCCTATGCCATATACAAGAATGCCCTGCCTTTCATACATTCGGCGACAACAAGTCGTATTTCACACATCTCTCAACCTGTGTTGTCATTAGCAATTTCCAAGAAAATGAACTGGGTAGGTTATTTACGTCTTCTATGCTGGCTTGCAAGAACTTCCTGGCTTCCAAACCAGCCCACACCTTGAGCATGGAGAAATCTCCCTGTCTTAACATACCACCACCACTCTGTGCGCCGAGCTGTCTCAGAATTGGTAGAGCGCTTGAGAGCAAGTCGATGTCCGGATTCAAGCTTCTACCAATACCTTCTAGTAGGAGGATGCTGATGACCACATTGACAAAATCGCCTTCCATACGTACGTGATGGCTGCGCACCATGCCCAGGACTTCATTTAAGATATCGCCTATCTTCATATTCCCCAGAGCAAGAGTGCGGCTCTTGACTCCTAGGACGAGATGTTGCATCTTCAAAGCGAAGATCTCTTGGTCAATGACAGCATCGGGCTGTCTGCAACGCTCGCACATCAAATGACCAGCCTTGTAACCGTCGAACTCGGCTACTGCCTTGAACAGATCCAAAAAATTCTTTCGATTCGTGGCATTGAGTTCCGTTACGAGTCCTGTATCGATGAAGATAAGCTGAGGTCTGAACCCCTCATTATCAATCTTCGTGAGCTCTGCCTCCCATGCCTTGGTGTCTTTCTTGTGCCGGTATGGTCTGAGTCGAGCAAGAACTTGCTCGGTTACATCAGGCTGGGCCTGAGGATCTTCGTCCTTGTGCTTGCTAAATGGCAAACGTGGCTGTTCAGACTGGTAGAATCGGACCATGATATTACCTGGATGAAGATCTGCATGGACAAAGTTATCCAGCAGCAACATCCTCAGGAAAGCATCGAGTCCTTCATCTGCAATTTCCTGCTGGAATACACCGCCGCCGTTCTCCATAAAATCTGAAAGAGGAATTCCTTGGGCAAATTCTTCTACCAGAACTTGTCTGGTTGTGAAGGCAGTGTACGGATATGGAAACCAAGCCGTGGTCCTCTCCTTGAAGTTCTTCCTGAAGATTGTGAGGTTGGCAGCCTCAATTCGAAGGTCCAGTTGCAATCTCATCATCTCGCCGAATTGTTCAACCTCATCTGGTAGAGATAACCATTCGATGGTAGGGATAATATTCAGCATCGAAGCGAAAAATCCCATAATCCTTAGATCTCTCCGAACCATTCTCTCCACCCCAGGATGTAGGACTTTGATAGCCACATATGTAGAGGGTACTCTCTGTGGTGTGCTCTTGATCAAAGTGTCCATATTCTTCCTGACGTTCTTTCGCAAATTCCGTGGTTCCTCATCTAAATCTGTCTCTCCCGGTGCAGCCAAATCGGGCTTCAATTTCGCCTTGTAAACTTGGGCAATAGCTCCAACTCCCAACGGCTTCTCATTAAACTCCTCGAATATATCCTCGAATCGTCTACCATCGAACGCTCTCCGTATAATTCGTTTCGTCTCGTGCAAGGAGTGTGCCGGCGCGTTAGAGTGTAATTGAGACATTATTTCGCACATCTGTTCTGGAAAGATATCTGATCGAGAAGCCGCCCATTGTCCCAGCTGCATTTCATTAGCATAGTTCTTCTCCAATTCCGAGGACTTCATACCTTAATGAAAGCCGGTCCAGCACGCTCCATAGACTTCACCAAGAACCAATACCACCAAAGCGTGCCGGACCTCTCATTATCCCTCTTCTTGTCTCTCGAACCAATCCAGAGGGCTGGCACAGTTACAATGACTGGTACGAAGATCACAACCAAATGCAAGAATCGCAAGCCAGTACACAAGGGCTCCCAGATATACACATCTAGGAACACGACAATGCTATCCCTTACACGCCTGATGCCATGCGAGTCATCCTTGACCTCCTTCTTGATCTCTGCCCGCGACGCCTCTAACATTCGCTGCTCGGCCGTATGTTCCGTGCCATCATTATCCTTCTCCGAGAGCTCTACGAATGCCGCAGGACTCAAGCTGGCTGCAGCCGCGAGAATCAATCCATTTCTCCTGGTCGGAGACTGTGAGAATCCTTTCCTGCTACCTCCTTGCCGCCCGCCGCTGTATGCTCGTCGGGCGGCGAGTTGGATGCGACATTGACATTGCAGCGCAGGTCGTAATTTAGGAATGGCTTGACGAAGGCATGTGAGGCCTGTACGAGAGGCTGCCCTCATGATCCCAAGCTCGAAAATGAAGCTTTCGTAGAGCGGTGCTATCGGTGCTCCATTGGGGGTTGGCAATTCGCGGTTCGAGGGTGGGTTCCATTTGTTAACTCGATTCGAGGCTTGTGATTCTGGGCTGCGTCGAGTGACGTCAGGCATTCGAGATTCGAGAATCAACGTCGTGAATCAATCGCAGCAAAGTATTGAGATGTGATTTCGACTTCTATAAAATTGAACATTGAATTAGGACTTTTCAAGAAATGTCGGAATCCTGTATAACAAGTTTCGAAATTTGAAAAGGGAACTTCTATGTAATGCATTGCAGTAAAAGTTCCAGTAGATTCGGACGCTATGCATTTGGGTATCATCTACAATGATCTAATAACAACGAACACAATTCTATACAGGAATGAGAAGTGTAGTGGGTATCCCTTAGATGTCGCGACGCTCTCTCTTCCTATTCTCCCTTTGGCGCTTCTCCTTTGCAGCAGCCTTCTTCCTCCCAGTCCAGGCGCGCCTTACATCCCCCCTGTTCTCGTAAAACCACTTCTGAAAATCACTCTCGGGCTCCGTCTCTTTATCCTTTCCTTTAGCCTTCTCGTTATTCCGGATTGGAGAGCTAGCCACTGCCTCATCATCCTCATCATCCTTCTCGCTCGGCCAGAGAAATCTTTTGTTTGCGTGAGCTGTATCTGGTGTCGGAGCAGCGCTTCGCATACCCCTAAATTCAAAGTCCTTCTGTGTGTAAGGTGTGAGAGGAATCTGGAGATGGGTTTCGGCTTGGACTTCTTCCACATCGCCATCTGCACCAAAAAAGCTGAATGATGACTCGGCAGCTTTGGGCGGGTCCATGGCATTGGATTTTGGGCGTTTGTACAAAGCTTCCAAGGGATGAACTGAAGAGGCAATATGAGTTGATGTGAGTGAATCTGGGATCTTGATGCTAAGAGAAGGGCCAGTCGATCCCTGGGATTCATTTGTGACAGCCGATTGTGGTTCTTCGGTTTCGAAATCTGCATCAGATTCGTCTGAATCCGAGTCATCAGACGATTCCGAGCTTGAGGAGGAATCTGTATTCGCCAACTCTATGCCGGCTACGGAGCTGTCATCAGAAGACGCTTCGCTTGAGCTGCTGTCTTGCTTTTGCGAGTCTCGGGCTGCAAGAGGGCTTGGGCTCGATCGGACTTTGTGATCTGAGTCGTCTTCTGAACTATCATCGCTTGAATTGATATTCTCATCCTCACTATCAGAGCTGGAAGAACTTGAGTCGCTAGAACTTCCCCTAGCTGTTTGCTGTAGCTGTGCATCTTGTAAAGCCCTCCTCCGCTGCTCTGTATCTGAATCTGCGCGGACTTCGGCATCAGAGTCCGAGTCGCTCTCTGAATTCTCACTGGAACTAGAATCGCTGGAGCTCTCTTCCATTTCACTGCTAGGAGCCGGAACATCGACCTCCATATGATCCGGCTCCGAGTCTTGAACTGCCTCTCGCACATCGCTCTCAACTGGGGCCGATATGATCTTCCGTGACCTCTTGGCCTGCTCTACTATATTTCCATCCTCATCCACCCATCCCTTTCCCTCTACAAATCCCACCACGACCCTTGTGCTGTTTGATACCCCGCTGCCGCGCAGGAAAGTCGCATATTTCGTAGTCTTCGCAAATTCGTGCACAATAGCTTCTTTTCCAGGCTTCCTCTTTTTCTTGTCTGGCTTCACATCCGCGATCTTCCCTTTCGAAGCAACATTTGGTGGCAGATTCGTCTTAAAGAGACATTCCGGGCCCGTAGTGTATTTCGATTTGACCACTGGCTGATCTTTCTTCGCGTCCTTCGCTGGTGTTGTCCATCCTCTCTTGACCTGTCTCTCTCCAATGTCCACGCCTGGCAATTCGTCCCGTTTCCGCTTCGTTTTCCTCTCTTTTTTGGGTCGCTCTGGTTCTTCATCTTCAATTATGACCTGCTTCTCTGGGCGCGCCTTCTCAATGCGAACCTTCGTTCCTTTGAGAATTGTGCCATTCAGCTTCTTTTTGATTTTCTCGGCGTCCATGGTAGGAAGTTCGACGTAGCCGTAGCCTTTCTCGGGGAATGTGACAATGCTATGGTACGAGATATTGCGCGCGTTCGGTAGGATTGAGGGAGGAATGACTGTATTCAGAAGGCCAGCGTTGAAGGGCGTGATGTGGAGACGGGTGTATTCTGTCTCCTCCATATTACATTAATGTGCAGCGTATCTGCTGTTCTTCAATGAGGCTGTCTTTGGCGAGGCTTTCTTTGTGCAAGAAATTTGGAGAGCTCTCGGCTAAAAGCCTGAGGCAGGTATCCCCTCAGATTCTTCTTGGGGGTCTTTTTTCAAGATCTCTAATTCGATTATCAAACATCAAAATCCTCTGCATTTAATGTCGCTAATCAGTCTTGTTACTTCTCATAAGGTAAGTTGGCAGGTAGAATCTGACTCTGGCAGGTTGGGTTCACCTCAATGGAGGTACTTGCCTAGTTCAAGGAAGGGCTATCCTCCACCGGCTGGACCCAATCACTGGACCCTCCAACCCACCCAGCCCAGCGACCATTGGCCTTGCGAGGGAATGGCCGAGCTCGAGCGCACACAAGTAACGAGATAAGAAAAAATGTTCACCAATCAGCAGATTTGCACGGGCGACTGGGTTAGTTACAACTTCTCATCTTAGCACGGCTTTATTCTAATACATTGCAGTCTAGGGGTATGATTTTCGTTTCGCAGCCTGTTAACGCAGCTGAATATATGAAAGGTCAGGGGTTCAATTCCCCTGTCGTCCAGCGGATTTGATTTTTGTTCTTTTTGGTGTTTTTTTCCTTGGGTGCTGAAAGGCGTTTTCGAGCATCAGCCGACATCACATTAGCGGCTAGCTCAGTCACCGTACTGGACTCCTAAAAGACAATTAAGCATGGTCTATTACTGTAATGAAAAGTTAGTGCACTAGGCCTCAATTCTGAAGTGGAATGGACTGTTCAAGTACATCCCCTCACTTCTTTATCATCCCTCCCTTTGTATTTGATGCCTTTGTCTCTTCATCCCTCTCAACCAGCTGAGTCATCTCCATGTCCCTGTTCAGGAAAACAGTAACAGGTGGAAGAGTGTACCTGTACTCATGAATAATTCCTATCTTGGCAAGCAAATCATATTAAACCCCAAACCGAGTAGAAATGCTATGGGGTGTCATTTTTGTTTTGTATGCTCTGATAAGCCTATGAAAGGCCAAATTGTATGCAGCCAACAATGTTACTACTACCAATGCAGGCTCAAAAACAGTACAAGCTCCGTGTGCTCCTAAGCGTGGACAAATAACAAGTGTCTGTTCTCCTGCCCAAGCATGCAGGTGGGTATCTCTGACGTCCTCCTTTCACATACATAATCCCTATGGCTCGTCAACGATGTCATGAATTCGCCAAAGAACTTTGGAATCAGATAAAGACAGAATTCCACATTTCGCACATAGCAGTTGATTGGGGTGCTTGTCTTGATCAGGCTTCTCTGTACGGGGATGGTTTCCCCGCCGCTGAGCGAGGCCCTTGTATCTGATACTTGAGACACAATAGCTTGGATGGACCTCAAGGTCCAATGCCAAAGACAATCACAGCTATTTCACTTCGCTATAAGCAGTGGACGGAGAGCATCAGTGGCTCAGCTATTACTACGCTAGGCTAGAAGAAACAGGTACGCTAGCCTGGAAAGAACTAGCTCACTTATAGTGCCTCTCGTACTTATGAGTGGTCCTTTCTGCTAGATGGACTAAATTCCACTGAACCTAGTGTTACATAAAGTGATGGTGTACGGAATCGGCCAGATCCATTTCATCCATAATCTATGACTTACAAGCAAGGGTCTTCTGACTCGCTTATGCGGGAAAGGGAAGTGCACTAGTATTGTTGACTTCCACAAAGCGATAAGAAACATCAATCTTGATTGATGGAGTTATACAGGACGCTATAAGTGAGCTAGTTCTTTCCAGGCTAGCGTACCTGTTTCTTCTAGCCTAGCGGAGTAATAGCTGAGCCACTGATGCTCTCCTTTCACAGTCCACTCCACCTGGTGCCACTGTAAGAGGTGTCTTAGGTAGTCCCATAAGACGCCGATACTGTGTTGGGGCTGATCAAATGAACATCTCTTTCATAATTTCTTTTCCTCCTATAACATATTTTTCAAAGATACGGCCTTCTAAGATACCTCCAGAAAATCAGAACATGATTCTCGTGCCTGTGAAAGCGTGCTGCCTCGCAATCCGACTTCGTGTTCAGCATTGAATTCCGGCTATTTTTGGCACTATCTGAATGTCTACAAACACCATTATGAAGCTCAATGGGCTGCAGAAGGGAGTCGGTTCTAAGTGCGGTTGGTTGCACGTGTGTCTTCAATGTTTTGTTTTGATGGCATAGATTAGCCGAGACTGGTCCTTACAGTAAGCGAGTTGTGGCAGAACGTCCGTACCCAGGCACTTACATGGGACACCCTTTGTTGATATTGAGTACTTTAGCTGTAAGCTTGATCAGTGATCAATCTATCTTAGCTGGGAATGGATAAAAAGTTCTCGATGAGCAGGATCCGGTGCTCCTACCTGGTACGTCACATCATGACGTGGATAGTGGCTTCCTGTTTTGGCAGTGGCCACGCATGGCTGATAAATTCATCCTCCATCATCGATTTTCCATCAAGAAATATCTTTAGCATCACACCGGGCATGTCTCGGATTGATTATGTTTCTCTTCTTACATCTATCTCCTAGCAGTCTTATCAACTCCTAGAATGTCTTCCACTCCGCCCACCTCACTTCCTACCATCACCTCCGTTCCCGCGTCACCAACACCTCTTGAAAACCCTTCTCAAACCCCAGCTGGCGGGTCCTTCTCGTCCAGATCCCATACTATTGTGCAGAGTCCGCCGCCGGACAAGAATATTCCGACTCCCGCACCACTCTCAAGAAGTTCCACTCTCCTCCAAACTCCACCTATCTCCGGCGGACAGTCGAGGCAAGACCGAGGAGGGTACTTCTCTTCCAGACGAACGCAGCCTGCATCAAACCAGAACTTCGCGAGAATTCCGGACAACAACTCCATACCGAGCCTCAGTCCTGGTCTTTCACCTGCTGGGTCTTTTAATTCCTCCGACACGGGTCTTAACCGCTGCAGTTACAGCAGCAGCGAATATCTTTCGCCTCCTCATTTTCAGGGAGATGATGATAAGCCTCCACATATCTCCCGTTCAGAAAGCTCGGAAAGTCTCTCAATGATGAAGGAGAAACCACGAAGAGAGGAGACTATATCAAATGATAGAAAGGTGAGGGTGAAACGGCGACGCCGTAGACGCTATGGACGTCGGCAACAGACCTCCGAAGGGAACCAGTATCATGAGCATGCCTCTTGGAAACAGTCTGTATGTCAACTCGCACCAACGGCACCAACAGGGCAGAAGCACCTTTGTACTGGCCATACTGGTCCTTTCGTCCCCAGCAAAACTCGACACGGTCATACTGATACCTTTGGACGTGTGATACCTCAATCTACACAGGGTCCTGCATCTCTAGTGGTCACTAGACGATGGAGCTCTGTGGAAGTCGGGGCACGTCAAAAGCGCCTTCCAAAAGGCTTGCAGTCTACGACCTCCAAGGTGGCCATTTGCAGAGCAACAAGTAAAGACAATAACGACGAATCCAATCTCGATCATGCTGGCCATCGTTACAGAAGCTCGAGCTTCACCCGAGGTGGCAAAGATCATGAGATTGTCTCAGCAATACGAGAAAAGCTGACAGTTCGTAAGGTCGACACATCTGGATTGGGAAGTCCAGTGGCACCGCCACTTTCGATTACCCTCAGACGTGCGAGCGATGCCAGCGGTTCAAGTTTCAATCGGCCCAGAGAACGAGATGATCAGAATTATTCCTCAGCCGGAAATTCTGGGCTTATGACACCCCTTGCCGGAGCGCAACATGTGCCCGGGAACAAACAGCCTTCTGCTGCATATTTGATCACCAACGAAGATATTGAGTCCATATCTCTACTAATAAAGAAAAGCCTCGGACAATATCTTCATTCTTACGATCGCAACAGCATAATAGATGAGTCGAGCTCCGCGGGAGGGACCTCCCGTAACACACGAGCGCCAACTATATCCGGCACTGGAGGCGGGAAGCCGGATCTCTTGTCTACAGATGTCACTACCAACGCTGTGGACTTTCAGCTGAGCCACTCTCGACCTTCTGATCAAAATGAATGTCTGGAGGTGAAGGATTTTCAGATGAACATACAGCGATCGGGTTCAGATAAGAGTGTACATGAACTTCTGTGGCAAGAATCAAAGAGCTCGTCGGAGGAAGCGTCCTCAAACCCCTGCGATACGCCTCCGGAGTCTAAGACTTCTCTAAATATCATGTCCGAGGAGTGCGAGATGGAGTCTGGTATTGAGAAAGGGAATGCATTTGACCCTCAGAATGCACGCGCTTCTACCAGTGACTGGTCTGGGAGGTTATCACAAAATGATGTTCCGATTGTTATCACATCATCAGACTCCGATTCAAATGAAGCCACGCCGAAAGTAGAGTCATTCAAAGCAAGACGTCGACCGCAGGTGAGGTCTGCAGCATCGACTCCTAGGGTTGCTACCCGAATTCGACCTTTCCCAAGGTACGCCGCGTCTCATGAACAACTACAAGATGTCGTGTCATTTCCTCCACTTTCCAACAGGAAGGCTACGAACGAGTGGATTTCACCACTTCCAGATATGGAAATAACATCGCCTTTATCAACACCTCCATTAACAAATTCTGGGTCGCTGTACGAGCTTGGTGTCGATGTCACAACGGGCCCATCGGGTGCTACGACATCCAAACCGCCTATCACTTCATGGGTTCGGTCTGCAGAAGCCTCTCCGTCTCATTCGCCAGGAATTGACTTCAGACAAGACTACGGCTTCGGTGGTATGAGTCCTACTATCAAACAGCACAACGACAGCCGCCGGAAGAGCTCGATCAAACCACATCCAAAGGCCTCACCTCGAACTGGTCAAACATTCGCGATGGGCTCTTCCATCGGTGTTCATGCGAGTGAAAGAAGAAAGAGCTCATCACCACATATTCAGCGAGTCCGTACGATTGATAATATCCACAAAGGTGAACGCGACGAGCCAGCGAGCAGGTGGAGACCGCCATCTGTTTGTCCTCCTCGGCTATCTCCAAGCCAATTGTCACCAAGTCCAGTAGAGGCCGAGGAAAGCCGAGATCAAAACCCAGAGGACCGAGTTCCTGAAATGATGACAAGATTACACAGGCTCAGAAGTGGATTCACAGATCGGATCAGCTTGGTAGAAGCTAGGACACCTCCATTGCCAAGGTCGGATTGTGCTGGCATATATGGGACGATCACAGGTACGCTTCGAAGAAGTATTGGAACTTCGTGTCAAGATAACGCTGCGACACACAATTGTGATGACTGCGCAAAGGATCCCCGGAATCCTAGTGTCGACTGGATTGGTTAAGTCGCCGATTGGAGGTGCATCAAGCAGTACACAGGTCGATTGCTTAGAATGGTAGCTAGCTGTCCTTCAATCAGAATGACAACACTGAAGGTATTCTGTACATTCTTCCACATTTCCCGGCATGACATCTGAATTTGAGCACCGTTTCGCGAGGCAACACGACTCCTGATTTCTCTATTTTATTCCAGAGACTTTCTCAAGTGCCTAAACTATTTAATGGGCAGAGCCGGGCACTTCAATTTCTCTACTCTGTACCATGGTATTCATGCTTCTAATACTATATTGACAATAT